TGTGTGTGTGTGTGTACATATATACATATATATAATTCAGATTTATATATAGATATCTCAATTTTTATCTCAGTAGATATCTCAATAAATATGTTAATTATTTAAAGCTTTGTTTTTTTTTACAGGAAGATATTAATATATTATCCTCTTTTCCAGAATTTATAATTTATTAATTTATTTATATTTACAGTAAGAAAGGATGCCAGGAAGTACGCCAGAGTGAAAGATCTCTTGACAATGAACGAGGAACTTAAGAAAGCAAGAAAGGCTTTTGACGAGGTTAAATATGCAGGTACTGTCAAAGACTAGACATACAATTGTAATGTTATATCCATCAACGAATGTAAAATTGAATGTGTATAAGTTTGTATTAATCTCTTGAATCACTTGTTTACTTAAGTAATCTGTTTTAAATCAGCATGATCAATTTGCAAGTAGTATTAATGCAGTCTGTTTGGTAATATATAATTGATTCGCGTATAATTGTACCTTGAGCAGAACAAAGAATTGTTTTTTATTGATTACATTTATTGCTGGGTTAACGTCGCTTTATTTTGCAATAACATTATATATATTATTTGCAGATAAACACTTGATTACATATCTTTTGTTACAGATAAATAGCAAAATTTGTTTTATATTCTTAAATGGTATAGCTATACAAAAAGAAGCAATAGGCAGATTAAATTTATTTTTAATAAGTAAACGATAAAATAGTAAAATAAAATTTTGCACGACTGAAAAATTATGTAATATGCTTTGATAAGAAAAAAAGGAGAAAACGCCGCTTTCCAGAAGTGCCTTTTATATAATGCAAGAAAATAAGTTTCTTTGATTAGTTAGATAAATTTTATATATATATACTTTATTTGTATCTTTTTAATAAAATAATATATATGTTTCGTAGCAAAAATGTACATTGTACGTTTAATATACAAATACAGCTCTTCACAACATACACTTCACTGCTCCACTTTGTGTTATATTTTTATATGGCAAAATAGTTATTTACTGTCATTTAAATTACAAACTATTGTTTCATCCAGAGACTGATTGCAATTTTCATTTTAACATTTTGTCACAAGATTTTTTTGCATGGTTTGATATGATTCAGCATGTACAGCGTTTGCATCTTAGAACATATATAACTTACATTATTATATTACTTATATTATTTATATTATTTGTAGTATATGTTCTAAGGTTTGCATGTTTCATTTATTTTGTATGCTGCTATTAGCCTCCTACGGATTTTTACACGAAATTAAACGATTTCTACAATTTATTTTACATCACGAACGGCCTGTTTTGCTGACAGAATAACGTCATTGAGTCCCACACCTTGGTAAGAAGAGCCGCACAGTGCCAGGGGAATACGGTGCGCGGAAATGTAATCGTGGATGCGTTTTACACGTGCGTTATGACCCACGACGTGCTGCGGGATACAGTCCTTCAGAACGGCAACGTTGTGTGCGACTGGTTCCTCGTCGATTTGTAAGATACTCTTGGTGTGATTAATCGCCGTCGTTAACAGTCGTTCCTCCGACGGATTCGCGCCGAAGTATTTCTCGAACCACGCACCTCCCATCATTACCGTCAACACCTAAGAATCATATCGTCACATTTTACGCATTAATTTATTATCATTGAAAAAAATATTTTTTTTACACGTTGCGTAATTTATAATTCTCACAATTTTGTACATACAAAAATAAAAATTATATCAGAAATAAAGATTTTGAAGCTCGTGAGTGAATCAAATGAGAAACGGACGTCCTAAGCAGACAGATAAAATTATGTGCTCGTGGGATATGCGTACCGTGGAAGACTCGGGGAATATGCAGGAGTCGAAGAGCACGCCCAGCAGAGGTAGATTCTCCTTCGGGGGTACGAGGAAGCCGAATGCCTGCAGGGGCAAGACATTTCCCTGGAATTCCAGATTGACCACTCCCACCGTCACGGTAGGTATCGCCCTCAGTTCCGCCGACAGTCCGGGATGTTGCTCCCGCAGCAGCTCGGCCAGGTCCTTCGCGCACAAGCTCGAGATGACGCGTGAACATTCCTGAGGCTCGCCGTTGACCGACAGTTCCACGCGATCTGACTGAAACGTAAGTTTCTCGCACCTCTTCCCGGTCTGTATCTTCGCTCCTCGTCTCTTCACGTTGTCGGCCAGTGCCTGAGGCAGTTGCTCCAGTCCGCCCCGCAAGCCCCACAGCATCAAGCGTTCTTTTCGCGCTTTCTCCGCCAAAGTCAGAGGTCTCGCCGCAACCCCGTTGTCCACGTCATCCTTCTTCGCTGCGTCTGCCTTCTTGTCGTCCGATTTCGAAAAGAGCCCTTTCAATCGCTTCGCCAGCAAGCCCTTCACTATGGAGCCGTGTTCCTGCTCCGCCTCGAACAGAGACTTGAGCAGAAAATTGACGCTTATCTCGCGCGCGTCTCCCGCGCAGATCCCGCAGATCATGGGGCCGATCAAGTTATCCGCGATGTCCCGGCCAAGTCTCCTCTGGACGAAACTGTGAACACTCTCGTCCTCCTTGGACACCTTGGGAGCCCTCAGGTCCGTCCATATGCGGTTTATCAAGGGACGATCCAGCAGGGACCACGTCTTGAAGAAACTTCCTATGGAATTCGGTAGAAAATGCAGCACCTCGCCCATGTAAATCAATCGTTTCCCCGCCGCGGGGTGGTGCAGTCCGATATGAATTAATTTGTCACTCAATTGCAGATCCTCCACCAGATTAAGAGTGTTTTCTCCAGCCGAGCCGGCTGTCCTCACGGTCCTCGGTCCCTGCTCGAAGACCGCTCCGCTGGGCGACCTTCTGCTGCGTATCCATCCACCCAGGCGATTAGAGGCCTCCAGTAAAATTACAGATGAAAGTCTCGCATCGTTAAGAGCATAATACGCTGCTGACAGACCCGATATGCCACCTCCTAGTATTACTGTCATTTCAGTACTTCATTAAGTAGCTCCAGCAGCTTCGATATAAACGGTTTTGACACAATAATCGGTCCAATATTACGCGATTATCAAATAAAAATTTACAATATTTTAATATATATATTTAACTACAAATGATATTTATTATTATATTTAAATGAGGAACAATTCTTTTCACAAGTAAAACAAATAATAGATGCTAAGTCATTTGTAGAATGCTGATTTATAAAAATATAACAACGTAGCACGTAATTACAATTGGAATACTACAATTTTATTTAATTAGTTTATAGGAATGTCATCCTATCAAAACGATATCAGAAGCGACGACGAATAATTATTTGTTAAGGTAGAAAAAGCCGCTCGTGAAATAGTAGAGGTTATGTTTCACATGCAAAATATAAACACGTGCAATTCAAGAGCCTTATTCCAATTAGACGTCTCTGTGGTATATAATTTCCGCACAACGAAATTATATATGCCAAGTAGTGTTGTATGTATGTACATTGAATCTGTAACATTCAAAATTTATATTTAAAAAAACAATGCTTCAATCAATCGTTGCAAAAAATAATTTTTACGTGCATCGAACTTTTAATACGTTTTTCAATTAGGTAGATATTTATTTAAAAATATTAAAACATAATTATATTCATTTTCTAAACAAATTTTTACAAGAATCAATTTTTATAAAATTATCAGATTGCACTCACATCACAAAATGCACAGCGATCAAGTCATAACATTATGCACAACACTGATCTTAAACATACATACAAAAAATACCCAAATAGAAATATAGGTAAATATACGCTTTTTATGATGATTAAGGCGATTAAGACAAAATTGTAAATATTCTAAAATGTAATTGTTAATTAGTCGCGTGACTTTTGACTCGCGTACAATCGTCTTGCGAAACACTTGCTTTCGAGTGGATTATAATACCTATTGCATTAAGTATTTGACGTATGTATAATATAAGTAGTACACCAAAGATGTACTACATGTAATATGCGGTAAATGTGATGAATAAAACAAGTTTTGTCTACCAATTAAATGATTCGCGAGTAACATAAAGTTCCGGAACCGATAATATTAATAAAATTTTTTACTTTTTACGTTTATCCGCCTAAAGGAAAAAATTACTTGATCGCTGTTTAGCTTTTTACAGTTTTGCATTTTTCGCATTTTGACAATTTAATAAATTAATATTTTATATTATATATATATTTATCTGGGTACCGATATATGATAAAATATATACAAATTAAAGCTGCAGGCCGTGGATGTGTTACCCACAGGAAATATCCATGGCTACATAGTTCATAGTTTTGTTCACATAGAGGCGCCAGCCGCGCCAGTAAATGGATTTCATATCTAAAATCGATTTATTGAATCGAATTTATTATATATACCTATATTATATTTATGTATGATATTTTTTTATATATTTGAGGTTATAGAAAACATTTTACAAAATTATGTGATTGATTGAGATATAAAGAAAAATATATAAATAGGACAAGCAGCTAAAACTGTTGGAAATTTTTAAACTAGCATGCAAGAGGATGTCTGCTAAAGAAAACTTTGAGCAGGTTAGGGTTAGGTACATTGTGTTTACATTTACATTTTTTCCTAAATAAATTTTTTCATTATTATATGAATACAAATAAAATACTGACTACACCATAAGTCAGCTGAAAATTATTTACTTTAATGTTCATTATATTTTTCTGAATATAGTTTTCAGATGCATTAGTTGAAAGATGTAAATGTGCTTTTCTCAAAAAGAAATTCATTTAAAGAATCTGCATTTTTTACGATATAATAGACAAGATCTTACGAATGATTACTGGAAACTAATTATTTATTACAATCGTTTTTTCTTGCTGTATACTTATATTTTGGTTGTCGACAGTTCGAGGATGAAGAAGCAGAAATTCCAATCGGCGGGACTTGTCTGGTGGAAGGAAACGTCTCTTCTCCAAGGAACTGCAATGCATGATGTATGGCTTTGGCGATGATCAGAATCCTTATACAAAGAGCGTCGACTTGTTGGAGGATTTGGTTATTGAATTCATAACAGAGATGACACATCGAGCCATGGAGATTGGATGTACAGAACAAATTCAAGTAAATAGAAGATGTATTTTTAGGTAAGAATTATATATGTAACTCTATGTATATTTTATATACATATATAATTCAGATTGAGATATATAATTTTTAATAGATATGTCAATAAATATGTAAATTATTTAAAGCTTCTGTTTTTCATGCAGAAAGGTACTTTTAATATATTATGTTTTTTTCCAGAGTTCATAATTTATAAATTTATTTATATTTACAGTAAGAAAGGATCCCAAGAAGTATGCCAGAGTGAAAGATCTCTTGACAATGAATGAGGAACTTAAGAAAGCAAGAAAGACTTTTGACAAAATTAAATATGCAGATACTGTCAAAGACATACAATTGTAATGTTATATCCCTCAACGAATGTAAAAACTGAATGTGTATAAGTTTGTATTAATCTCTACTTGAATCACTTGTTTACTTAAGTAATCTGTTTTAAATCAGCATGATCAATTTGCAAGTAGTATTAATGTAGTCTGTTTGGTAATATATAATTGATCCGCGTATAATTGTACCTTGAGCAGAGCAAAGAATTGTTTTTTAATAATTATATTTATTGCTGGGTTAACGTTTTTAACGTCGCTTTATTTTGCAATAACATATATATTATTTGCAGATAAATACTTGATTACATATCTTTTGTTACAGATAAATAGCAAAATTTATTTTATATTTCTAAACGATGTAACTATACAAAAAGAAGCAATAGGCAGATTAAATTTATTTTTAATAAGTAAACGATAAAATAGTAAAATAAAAATTTGCACGACTGAAAAATTATATAATATGGTTTGATAAGAAAAAAAAAAGGGAAAAAAACACCGCTTTCCAGAAGTGGCTTTTATATAATGCAAGAAAATAAGAAATAATAAAATAAGAAAATAAGAAATAAAATATAAAAATAATTTCTTTGACTGGTCAGGCAAATTTTATATACTTATATAATTTTATATATTACATATATATACATATATATATATGCTTTTCTGCAATTTATGTTACGGCCTGTTTGGCTAACCGAATGATGTCATTAAGTTCGAGACCTTGATACGAAGAGCCGCACAATGCCAGCGGAATATTGTGCGTGAAAATGTAATTATAGATGCGTTTTACACGTGCGTTATGACCCACGACGTACTGCGGGATACAGTCCTTCAGAATGGCAACATTGTGCGCGACTGGTTCCTCGTCGATTTGTAAGATACTCTTGGTGTGTTTAATCGCCGTCGACAATAGTTGTTCCTCCGACGGATTTGGCCCGAAATATTTCTCGAACCACGGACCTCCCATCATTACTCTCAACACCTGAAAATCATAGTCATATTTTACATTAATTTATTCTCATTGAAAAAAAAAATATTTTTTTACATGTTGCATAATTTATAATTCTCACAGTTTTGTATATATAAAAATAAAAATTATATCAGAAATAAAGATTGAAGATCGTGCTGTGAGTGAATTAATTGAGAAACAAATGACCTAAGCAGACAATAAAATTATCTATTTGTGAAATATGCATACCGTGGAAGACTCCGAGTTTATGCAGGAATCGAAGGTCACGCTCAGCAGAGGTAGATTCTCCTTCGGAGATATAAAAATGCTGAATGCCTCCTGGGGCAACACATTTCCCTGGAATTCAAGATTGACTAGTCCCACCGTTACGGTAGGTATCGCTTTTAATTCTGCCGACAGTCCGGGATGTTGCTCCTGCAACAGCTCAGCTAGATCCTTCGCGCACAAGCTCGAGATGACGCGTGAACATTCCTGAAGCTCGCCGTTGACTGACAGTTCCACGTGATCCGACTTAAATATAAGTTTCTCGCACCTCTTCCCGGTCTGTATCTTCGCTCCTCGTCTCTTGACATCGTCGGCCAGTGCCTGAGGCAGTTGCTCGAGTCCGCCCCGCAAGCCCCACACTCCCCCGTATAGAATCCTTAGCGCTAAAGTCTCCGCTAAAGTCTCGTGTGTAGGTCTCGCCGCAATCCCGTCGTCCGCATTATCCTTCTCACTGTTCTTGTTTACGGAGAACCTTTTTAATAATTGCTCCGCCAAAAAATTCTTCACCATAAGCTTAAATATGGAGCCGTGTTCCTGTTCCACTTCGAACACCCTACTGTACGGCTCGATGCACTTTATACTTAACTCGTGCGCGTCTCCTGCGTAGATTCCACACATCAGGGGGCTGATCACGTCATCCGTGAAATTTTTGCCCAATCTTCTCTCGAAAAAACTATATACATTTTCGTCTTCTTTGGCTACTTTAGGAACCATCAGGTCCATCCATATGTTCTTTATAATGGGACGATATAGTCCGCGCAACTTTAAGATGTGTTTCAACGCATATCTATTGGCTATCGACGTGAGGATGATGGGTGGTCTATCATATAGCTTTTTATTTTTATATATTAATTCGTTCTCCACCGCGGGGTGGAGCGGCCCGAAACGAATTAATTTGTCACTCAATTGCAGATCCATTGCCAGTTTAAGCGTGTGATTTTCATCCAGGTCGTCGTCCATTTTTACGATTCTCGGTCCCTGCTCGAAGATCGCTCCGCTTGGTGAGCTTCTGCTGCGTATCCATCCACCCAGGCGATTAGAAGCCTCCAGTAAAATTACAGATGAAAGTTTCGCATTTTTAAGAGCATAATATGCTGCTGACAAACCCGATATGCCACCTCCTATTATTATTGTCATTTCAGTACTTCAATATATGTAATCACTCGGTCCTCAATTTTATGTCTTGTCAGCGGTTCGGGATCGACTGCCAAATTCATCGAAAAATCTGACGAAAATCACCCCGTCGATCACGTGTTTACATCGTGGAAGATGGTTATATACTCGCTTCGTCCTTGCAAGTAAAAACAAACATATATGCTAAGTCATCTGTAGGACGATGACTTATAGGAATATAACAACATAACATGCGATACAATTCGAATATTATAAACTACAGTTTTATTTGTCCTGCTTTATAGGAGCGTCAGCTTATCAAAACGATATCAGAAGCGACGACGGATAATTATTTTTCAAGGTAGAAAAAGCCGTTCGTGAGATAGTGTTTCACAAGTAGAAACACGTTGCAATTCGAATTTTTTTCCAATTAGGCGTCTCTGTACTCTCTTAAATTTTCTGCGTAATTTGCGCTTCCTTTGAATTAAATTTCTAAATAAAATCTAATATCGCTCTCTTTCTCTCGAATTACAATTCTATAAAACATCACAGCAACATAGTTATAATGTATGTACGTAAGAAGACTTGTGTGACTTTGCATTTCTTTGCATCTGATTCTGATATCAGATATTATTATTAAGATTATATCGCATGATTTGAACTATTTCTAAATTATTAATTGTTATAATTTGCGTATCATTTACCGCGCTGACTCCTGATAGCCCTTACGTCTTGTGTTTTTTTATTATAGAATAATTTCAGGAAAAAAATTGTTATACGTATGTACAAGTAGTTTATTTAAATTCTAATTTTTTGCCAAAAAATCGATTAATGCCTAAAGACGATTAAATACATTCAGAAGAATCTTATCCATATCTTTAAAAAAAAAACAAAAACGTGATGCTCTCAATTTTGACAGCTACATAGAAGCGTTCAAACTTCGCATGAGAAATCATAATTAACAATTTCTTATAATTAATAATTTCAGAAAAAAAATTGTTATACGTATGTACAAGTAGTTTATTTAAATTCTAATTTTATGCCAAAAAATCGATTAATGCCTAAAGACAATTAAATACATTCAGAAGAATCTTTTCATCTTTTTTAAAAAAACAAAAACGTTATGCTCTCAATTTTGACAGCTACATAGAAGCGTTCAAACTTCGCATGAGAAATCATAATTAACAATTTCTTCTCAAGGCTCTATCAGATCTCCAGTATGTATTATAATGACATACGATTTTATTAAGACATACACGATTTATTTAAAGATTTTATATAGTTTATTGGGGAAGACATAATGAGAGAATCATAATAACAGAAAGAACAGATTAATTTAATATATCGGATCGTCGCGTATTGAAAAAATGCAAAAAAAAAACAAGGCGGCAGGGCGCTCGGAGTATTCAGATTCCTCGGATTCCAACGATCACGTTACACCGAGTTGTACATACCTAGACGCGCGAAGCCACGACACGACGTCGGGCGTATATACGCGTATCCACGATTTCGTACGCGCGGAGATTAACGGCAGCCCCCCGGGATCGACTCGCGTATTCGCATTTCGCGGTCGACTCGATCAACGGCTGACGTCGCCGTTTCGCGAGATGTTGCAACAGGCTGTTGCGACTGTGCGAACTCCGCGGTGCGCATGCAGCGTGGTGGCGATCATCGCGAGCTCGTGGCTGCCCTCGCGACGGAGTCGTCGCGGATCGACCCCGTTTTCTCGGAATCTCGCGCCGACGCTCGAAATCGCTCGACGCTTCCCGCGCACCGACCTTTAAGTAACTGCAGGCCGTGAACCGAGCCGAGCCGAACCGCCCCGAGTATTCTCGTCGCGTCGCGTGTTTTCCGACGAGGGGGCACTCACTGGGTATACAGTGGTCCACAGTGGTCTCGTGCTCGCGTGCGCCCCGAGACGAGGACGACGAGAACGGAGACAACGACGAGGACGTCGAGGGCGAGGACGAGTGGTGCGAGATGCACCGGCGTTAATCGACGAGTGAGCCGCGTCTTGGGTCGATGAGACCGACGAGAAAGGGCCGCAGTGGAATCAGGCACGTCGGTATGCAGAACGACGACAGCGAGACAACGACGCGCACCGCCGCGGAACGCGACGACGACGACGACGACACACCGAGCAGCGACGGCGCCGCCGAGGTGGCCGCCGAGAATCGCGACGACGAGGCGCCGAGTCGCGACGACGCCGAGGGGAGCTCCGCGGATCGCGGGAACGACGACGACTCGAGTCACGGCGCCGAGGGCACCGTCGCGGAGTGCGACGACGACAGCCCGGCAGCCGAGCAGGCTGCGACCGGCGCGGATCGCGACGACAGAGATCGCAAGGAGACGCGGAAGGTGAAGAAGGGAGACTGCGTCTGGAGCATGTATCTTCCGTCTACCTCGGGGAAGGAGACGCTTGCCGTTGCGAGCAATAACTACGGTTGCGAGCACTACAAGCGAAAGTCCAAATTCGTGGTAAGTTCGAGGGATTGTCTTGTGATATTTTCAAATAAATTATTGGATACTCGTTTATATAAACATTTTTTTATAGTAATTTATCTTGATAAATGTCACTAGAAATATAGCCTTAAAATTTGCTTTTATTGAAGTATAAGATATATTACGATAAAGTTCTTTTGATTTAAATGTCGAGTATATTTTCTTAGATTTATGATCATTTATTATCATGTCTAATCGTAAAGATTTATGTATTTATTTAATTATATATGTATAAATTGTATGTTTATATTTAAATTCTTATACATATAAATGTAAATATAATAAAATATATGCTTTGTTTCTTAATTATTTAATTTATTAATAATTTCTTAATTATTTAAATTATTCTTACCGTATCCTTAAATGCTCCTTTTTTCTTGTAGACTCCATGCTGCAACAAGGTGTACACCTGCCGATTTTGTCACGACGAACAGGAGGCGCACACAGTGAATAGGAAAGAAGTCACAGAATTGATATGCGTTCTTTGCGACACCCGCCAACCCGTTCAAGCCACTTGTCAGAATTGCCACTGTCAATTTGGCAAATACACATGTCTGGAGTGCAATCTCTTTGACGACGAGGATAAGAATCAATACCACTGCGACGGATGCGGAATTTGTAGAGTCGGTGGTCGTGACAAATTCTTTCACTGTGCCAAGTGCAACATGTGCTTGCCGATCCAGTTGCAAAACGGGCATACGGTAAGATTATTACGATAACGCAAAATGCACGTTTTACATGATGAAACATCATCACGCAATTCATCATGTACATTCTACGCAGTCTTGTCGTAATTATTACATAAATGTCAAATGAATGTTGCAGTGCATAGAAAATGTCTCACATTCCAATTGCCCCGTGTGCCTGGAAGACATTCACACGAGTCGCATACCATGTCACATTCCCGACTGTGGGCACCTGCTTCACCGTATGTGTTTTGAGGAATTGTTGAACTCGGGACATTACGCCTGCCCGTCCTGTCAGGTGTCACTCCTAGACATGACGGACCTGTGGAAGTATCTGGACGCGGAGGTGTCGCTGACACCGATGCCGGAGGAATATAACGACTGTAAAACCGATATCTTATGTAAAGACTGCCACGAGGTCATATCTACTTCTTCATAATATATCCCAAAATGCTGAGGCGTGGAAATTGATTAAAAGATATTAATGGCAAGATACCATGTTATTTCAGGAATCTACGGTCAAGTTTCACATCGTCGGGTTGAAGTGCTTAAACTGTGGTAGCTACAATACCTGCAGGATAAAAGGTTCCCCGTGTTCAGGTGACGATCAAAATTGCTAATCGATTGTTTCGCATCCGCGATAACGATTACGTGAATTCTCGATATGATTTCCACAGATCCCGACGCCCTGAATGAAGCAGCTGGTATTACGGAAGAGAAGGAGGGATCGTAAAGCCAAAGTTCGGAATATTACCCGATATTATCCATCGATCGTGGAAGGAATACTATGGTAGTGATGAGTAGTGAGGAGAGTATTTGTATTTTAGAATTTTATCTTTATTTTCATCTTGTTAGCAAATTGCACTTTCGTTGCCTTCTCCGTATAGTTACCTTTTTCGGTAAGGTACTTTTCGATTGAGAATAATACTTTTCGTTTAGCCGAAGTTAGTAGTACAGTAAAAATTAAATATCTGTTAAATGACCACTGATGATATTATACTTTCGATTATTTTGTGACACGCTGTTAGCAGAATCATAGAAGTCGAGATGATTTTGTTAACGCAAGTATATTAACAAAAACTATTTCTGCGTCTTGGCTTATTTATTAAATTACAATTGGAAACAATAATTGATAAAGTGGCCAACGTGAAAATATGCTATCTATTTTCGCGTACATTACGTTTACGAAGATATTGATTTTTATTTTTAACGTTTTTTTTCTTTAGACAGGATATTCCAGACTTATCGTGCAATATTTGATAAATTCGATTTTTTTAAATAAGAATATATTGATACATTTCATTTTGTTGCAACTTAAAACTAGCTGTAATTACTGCAACGTTCTTGGAAAAATTTGAATTTCAAATTACTTCAAAAAGTGTTATCAATAAAATTATTCTGCGCGGTAGATTCTTGGATATTCTGTATATTTTTTCTGCTTCTGCATTTATCTTCAACATGGCAACTGCACTAGTTGTTGACTACTAATTACGCCTAAGAAAATAATTAAAAAATTGTGAAATGGCACGTGTGCGTATGTGTGTCGTGTGTGTGTTTAAGAGATAAAAAAAATACGAGATGTCTCAAAATTTTTTTCGTATTAGGCAGTATAGCACGGTGTCACCCTATCTTGAGTAAAACTTACTCTGCGTAGATGCGTTACTGCAACACTAGTTTTTCGTAAATAATATCTGCAAAATCCTATTAATGATAGCGAAATATGATCCATAGCATCCTTGTCATATTAAAACCGATGGCCTAATTGATTGTACTTTAACAACGCATTTCGCATAAGTCGATATAAATATAAATTTCCATTCGTAAATCGCATGGAAGCTTCCAGCTTCCCTTACACATTCTGTTTCGTTTAGGAAAAGATCTCACTTAGTCGTAATCTAGTCGCGGAAGATTGAGCGCATATTATACTGCTCCTATTACGATTTTTCTCGTAAGTGTGAATGTTTTATACAAAATATATAAATGAATTCACGGGTGGCACACACTACTGCAACAATAAAATATACCATTGTAGCGAATAATTAGGGAAAAATACTTTCCGTTGAGTAATGATAAGATATACGTATTATTATACGTACCAATGCATTTCGATGTGCATCTATTGAACTCGCATTCCTCCCGAGAGGGAAGCATTCTTCTAGCAGCTAATATATTCACCTATTAATAAAATTTACGTAATCTGTTTTAGTATAATTGTACACACATATGATATCTAGGTGGAATACTCGAACGAGGCATTAATCGTGAATCCTGCTATCTTGTCACGTTTGATAAAAAAAAGATAGTTTTTAATTACTAAGTAGCCAAGTATAGTTTATGTACTTTATGAACTGTCTAAAAATATTCGGCAACTACGAGTTTTCTTTAAAGCTCGGATTTGATAGTTTCATAAAATTATTTCAAATGCTGCAAATAAAGTGTCACTTTAAGCACAATTTTTCAAGGTTTCGTTTCTGGATAAAAAGTGCAAAATCGACACGGGTGACTTTATCATTCCATTGATCATTCGCATTTTAGTGAATATTAGTGATATTTTAACGACATTTTTAGTGATGTTTTAGTGATATTATAGTGATATGTTTAATAAACTATAAAATATTGAGCAGTCTCTAAAAATCTGTAGGTTTCATTCTTATACACACGTTATAAAAATGAAGTATACTTGGATGCGAAAGTAGTCGAAAATTTTTTAGGCTGCTCGATATTATATTGTTATATTATGTTATATTGTTATAATTCCATTAGCAAATAGTGCAATTAATAATTGTCACATTCATTAATGTCGTTCTTCATATAAATATGTTTTCAAGAATGATATTATAATGAGTGCTTTGATAATTGTATTTAATTGTATAATATTGCTAGTTCCATTGAAACAACTTTATTATTAATGTTAAATGTTTACCTGTTTAGGATCTGCCGACAGATTAAAAGTATCTTGCATATTGTGCTCTAATCTGCATTAGAGAAACTTCGTGACGCAGAACGATATACGTAGATTCCATTGTGATTATTATCACGATTTTATTATTCACTTGTAAATTAAATATAAATTACAAAGGCTCTTTGTACATAATGGTTGCAATAATTGATTTTGTTTTATATTACGTATAATATACTACTGTGTATCAAATAAATCAGTTATAATTTTATTCTTTTAATCTTTCCCATATAATAAAAGCGAAGAGGATGACAAGAAGTGATACTTGCGTACAAATAACGCGCGTCTTTTGACAAGAGTGTAATTGTTGATATCCGCGTTTATTCGATCTTTCAGGTATCTGCATTAAAATCTCATGATGAAATCGAAGCGGGATTGCCATTTTGGTTTAGGGGATTTTGTTCTATGAAGGAATGATTTCCATCTGCCAGATACCTCCCAGAAATCGTCTCCGTCAGAAATCGAACGGTAAACACAATGATCACGAGATAAATAGCTTAGTTATCGCCGTGACGTGTTTTAGATTAATCTCTTTCTCCATTTTTTTTTTATTACCAAACACGCAGACTGAAATCATTCTTCCACGGGACGGAGTTTATAGGAAAAATTGTAAATAAAATTACAAAATTATGTATAGTATCCTACTTCTTATTATCCAGTACGTGGACGCGAAAGATCTATTTTCGTATTCGTGTTACACCTTGGCGAGAACGGCGCGACAGAATAAAGTCGATAAAAGTGCAACAACCTCCCGTAAATCCCGGATGGTAAAATTCGGTTGCACTGTGGCTTTCGTATATGTTACGTTTAAGCGAATTCAACAAATTGCACTCGACGCGTCCAAAATTACCGGCAGTATCTACAACGACGAGAAACCTTTTAACTCTACAATACGCACATGGGTTATAAATCTGTAAGACCTCTCCTTTTTTAATTTTTTTAAATCCTTTAGACGAAACTAATTCATTTACATTTCCAATATTCTTTCATCTTTTTCACCTGTTCAGAAGCGGATGCAAAAACCCAGTTTGAAGAAGAGCTAATAAAATATAGCATAATACATACACTGGATATATATCTAAATTTATATATTATATAATAGACATTATATAATATATAAATATATATATATATATGAGTGTATTATATAATAAATGTTATACAATAGATGTATAAATATACTATATATATATATCATGTTATATACATACGTATGTAATGAGCATATGATATATTAATATATTTATAATATTTATATATAAACTGTACTTATAAATATCTCCACAAAAAGCAACCACAAAATATAGAACAATTCTACAAAGCGACGTAATATTTGGATTTTGCAAATCGTAAAACAGCTACTTCTCCCACCTCTTACATCTGCTTTTTTATATGTACATAATTCAGATTTCCCGTAAGAAGAAGCCGAATAAATTTATCTTTTCTAACGTCTTAAAAGAAATCATAAATCATTTGAATAAATAATCTGTACTTTTTTTTTATCGAAATGAATGCACGATTGAAAATGCAAATCTTTTTAAAAAAAGGAATATTTAAAAAATGGAGAAAAGTACCCATTTCCACATTAGATCCACATTAGATCCACGCCTAGATTCAGTCATAATCGAAATCTCCCCGAAAAAATATCATTTATTTCCTTCTCTCCGACCCTCTTTGCCACCCAGCGCAGTGTAGAGTTAAATCCACGCACATCGAGGACAACCGATCGAATTCGTCGCTTATAATTTACATCCCGAATTCATAGCGCGTGAAATAACCGATAGTGATCGCGCGTTCCTGAAACGGAACGGCCCTATATACCTTCATCTACGACTAGTTTAACGAAGTTGTCTTCTTTTGTACCACAAAGTGCGACCGAGCGCCGGTATTCCGCTTTTCACATTCCTTTTCCATCTTTTCTTCTCCCTCAGAAGTTCAAAGAACGTGGGCGCAACGGCAGGTATCCATGATTGCTCAGGAAGCGTCGGGCGGCGCGTGTCATCTCGATCTGATCGCGAGTACGACCGCACGCTACCGCTATCCATTGCGCTTCCAATTGTGTCTACAAGGAGAAAGAAATTCTTCTGATTGCAATTTCAGCGCGCGCCAGCAATGCACCCGTGTTGATAATCGACCATATTATTGTAGAATAAGACTTGTTTGATTTAACCAAATATCCTACTTAGCTGTGCATGCAATTACAGATACAATATTTATTGATATTCGCTATGATATAAACGCAAGATTAGACAAAATTTATAGTTAGCTGTAATTAAATATTTCCTATTTTTCGAAGCTCAAATAAGCGACGACACATCTTGTTGTTTTCGACTCTCTTTTCCAGAGAGAAAGAGAGAGAGAAAAAGAAAATTAGATCTTGAAGATCGATCGAACTAACGTTCATAGTTATAAGATCTCTGCGTGGAAAAGACCAATTAAGACAAGGAACTCACCTTGATGCGTTTAACCGGCCTGGGAGGCAGAGGGCTGAAGAATGTATAAGGACTGTCGAATGCGTCGAACGTGATCGCTCTCTTGGCATTCGGCTTCCGTTGTTGTACGGACGTAAAGTCGTGAGGAGTCTGGAAAGGATAGACACACTAGCTACAGCCGGCAAATAAGAGATGTTCTTAGAAAACAACAGAATGGACTTTATATTTAGAAGAGAGTGAATTTTACGGGGTACGAGACGGAAGAAGAGAGGAAACGGAAGCTTGAGAGATTGGAAAAGATAAATTTATTAATGAAGAGAGATAGAGAAAGAGAGAGAGAGAGAGAGACAGATGAATTTCAGACGAAACAGCTCATATTTTTCGAGGTTTAATTGTGACGACACATCTTATTGTGTTCTTTCGTATTCGACTTTTTTTCCAAAGAGAAAGAAAGAGAAGAAGACTGCCCACAACTTGTGGAATGACTAGGCTCTTAGATGAGGGTTTAAAAGGCTACTCTGGGCAAGGACTCTTTTTTTTTACTCCCTGTCTATAAGCTCAAGGCTTCGTCGAAATCGAACACCTCGAAAATCATCATAATTTCAGAATCTCTCGATTATCTCAAGTATCTCTCGATTTCATTTTTCTACTGAATTTTATATCATCAAGGGAGTGGAAGAAATCTCTCTAAATTTCCTTTTTCAAGAAAGAAAAAAGATCTTAGAAAGAGGGATGGGAAAAATCGTGATACTTTATCTCAATTAGGAACAATGTCCAAATAAAAAGGAAAAAAAAAGAGACTAGGCCTTCACATTTTACGCGCCGTGCTACTAGAGTTGTTTTCGACTGGATATCCCGCATAAATATCTTTGGATTGGGAAAAGATTGAGGTACTTTGGTACGCTAGGCCAGGCCTGTATAAGGAAAACGATCTCAGTTAGTGTATGCAATTTATTAGTTAGCGTATGCAATTAACATGCGACAACTCAATATATCATTAAAAAAAAAAAGAAGAAAACAAATACATATAAATATTTACATATATATTATTTTATACATAAATATTAATATTAATAAAAAAATATTTAAAAAAACATTATGTTCGTGCAGGGCAACATCTAGTATCTCGTTTTAAAGGACGAAGATTTGACACATGGAATGGATGTTAACATATTCGAGATGACAAAATTCACGTAAAGATCGATTGTACGCTGTCTACGATATCCTTTTCCATGCTAATGCCGCATATTATGCAAGCAATGTTATTAATATAACTATATTAGTCATTCGCGATTCATTATTAGAATCCATTCTCAGCAAAGTTAATAAGACTGAAGCAAACAAAAACGAAACAAGATCGGTCACCTGCCGATTATATTTACAAGCTTACAACGAGATAATTAATAATTTAATTCTTCCAGTTGTAAATGGCCATGATTTTTGCAAGATCAACAAAAATGTCTATATCGTAAAGGTATGCACATAAATAAATTTAAATGTTTCTTCCTATTGATCAAAATGAATGGAATAACAAACGTTTTCTCTCATTTCATGATGTATAAACTAATCTTTGTAGTTTTAAAATAATAAAATTAATAGTAATACTAAATAAAAATAAATAATTAACGGCCAAGGCATTGGTACAAGTCAATAAATAGATCGAGATGACCTTAAATGTTAGTTTATAGTATTATACCTAAAATTAACAAGAATGATAATCTTTGGATTGGGCAATATTTAAGCGACGAAAGGAATAAAAATAGCAGTAGAAGAAAAAAAATTAGAGATTTATATCTCCTACGCTAATTGGATTTTGTCCTCAAAATAATGAATAAGAAGCGTTATATAAATGAGGTATGAAGAATACAGGCAAAAAATTCAAGTACAGAGACATATAGCGAGAGAAAAGTTAGAAGGCCGGCTAGCGTGTCTAAGGACGATTGGTACGAGAATAATACCAGGATAGGGCGGGTTGAGTATGAATTTGACTTTGATTTTGAGTACGTTGTTCTACCTTTGTGGGACTGGTTCCTGCCGCCAAAAAACTATCTTCCAATGCCATAGATGCAGGTGAAAACAGTGCAGTGGAAGTTTCCAAACTTTTACTCTACAAAAAAACAAGTATATATTATTATCCGTTTCGAATTTCACGAGATTTACAAGTGCATTCAATGAACATAAGTAATTAAAGTATCATTAAATTGCCTATTGCGGATGAAGGTATGTTTCTAGATTTATCGAAAGCTAATCACTAGTAACTTTTGTGTTCATCGAACGCAACGCGATTTGCCAGTAATTATCTAGGTAACATACTGGTGTTTCCACGAGGAAACTAATGTCGGAGCTGTCCTGAGATGCCCAAGCGTGAGCGAGAGCCTTTCGCGCGCGCTTTCCTCCTGGCGCACTGTTCTCTTTACCGCGCTTTCGCAACATACTATTGTAGCCCGAGTCCTCCTGAATCGCACTCGTTCCAGCCTCGTTCTCGGTCTCCTGCTTTATTATCTCTGTCAGTGCATCCAGACGACTAGGAGTAGCGGGCAACTGCGCCGCTCCGGTTCGTCGCTCCAGCTCAGCCAGAGCGTTTTTGAATGGCGTTGGTGTTCTCGGTGTACCGTCTGTAAAAGTGAGAATAGAAGAAAGCGATCCTAAAAAAAACTTTCTATTTAGAAAAATGTCCAGTACGTAAAAGTTTTATTTGAGTAAAGATTTCGTTGAGCTATAAAAGATAATGCATTCGCAAATTTATAATTAAAAAAAAAAGCGGCACACACAAGTAAATGTTTTATGGAAAATTTACCGTTCTGACTTCGTCGGAAACCGGTAGGCTGCGGAGTCGTGAGCGGACCGGGGCTGCTTCCCTTCGGCGTACTCGCGCGCGGCCACGACGACTCTGACGGGCTCAGACTGTTGAGGAATTGCGAGGGACTGAATGGAAGTTGCTTGATGGGAGTCGACGGGGTGATGTTTCCCTCCACCTGCTGGCCCGTCACGATGTAATCCGACTGATTCCCGCTGTCGGAGAGGTCTATCCTCTGCAGCAGACTGTGCGCGTTTCTGCGCCTACGTAATATAGGCGGCGGGCTGCTCTTCTTCTCCACGTGCTGATTGGGTATATCCTCCAAGTCGGGCATCGGCATCAACTTTATCTCCGAGCTCTTCGAGCCGGACGTCTCGTTTTGTATTTGTTGCAGGTTGAAATATCTACGCAGAAAAAAAGAAGAAAGTTAAAGATCGCTCGGAGATAAACGTACACGACATTGTTTATTTCAATGATATACATACTTAGGTAATAACGAGAGTGTCTCGGTTTTCATCCGCGAGGATCCCCTTTTCGGCGGAGACGCGCATTTTTCATTGCCGTGCGTATGCCTGTTCAGCTGTAGCGCGTTCTGGTACTCCGCTGTAGCGGCATGTTCCCAACCTCTGACCCAATCCAGGTCGATGTCGAGAGTCTGCGAAGAGCTACCCGCCGTTACTGTCGAGCTGCTAGTCGAGGCAGTCTTCTGATTCTGATCATCTTCCAGAAGAAGCGAATCCCTCACGGCAGTACCCTGTGTATTTTTTCTTTTGCCTCTGCCTACATACAATAAGTTTCGTTCATTTCTTGACGCATTTTATCAAGTCTAAATAGATATTATAAACATTATATACAAAATCATTACATACAGATCGATGAAGAAATTGTATTATGATAAATATTTTATATTTATCATAATACAATTTAATATTTTTACAATGTTATTGCATAACAATTTATCATCACACGTATCGTAAAGGTATTATACCTTTGGTCGCAGCTCTTCCTTCATCACCTTCATATTTCCTTCTCATCGTGCTATTCCAATGATTCTTAATCGCATTGTCAGTTCTGCCTGGCAAGAGCTTGGCGATTTTTGCCCACTGATTGCCGACCCTACGATGGGCCTCGACGATTATTCTATCCTCAGCCTCCGTCCACGCAGTTTTCTTTATCTCCGGATTCAAGTGATTGTGCCATCGTTCTCGGCACTGTTTGCCAATCCGACCTCTAAGATGTCGCGCTATCAACGTCCACTTTTTCGGCCCATACTTCCCTACAAGTTCCACCACCTTCTCATCTTCCTGTAAAACAGAACAGTTTAAAAGATATAGTAAAGAAATAAAAAAAAGGTAAAATATTTTAAGAAAATGCAATAAGCAACGAGAAATTTATGTATGTATTATCTATCTTGTTTTTAAATCGCTCCTTTTAATATGTAAATGGAAACACATGAAAGTCTCTTTAATGCTAATAGAATATCCGATAATAAAATAACCGAAATCCAATTAAGTCAGCTTTCTTCGGCAAAAAATACATACAATTTTAAGAAAAATGTAAACATCTCTAAACATTATAAATAATCTGATTTGTCATAGGATGACGCTCGACATACGAGTATAAGGGGATACGAGGGAAGGGGATACGCAGGTATCTCAACCAAGGGATACCAGTGGGAAACGCCATAGTCACACGTACGCGCACTCGATTCCCGGAGCCGCATTACTTGCCCTTGGCTGTTGCCAAGTGCATTGGCACGGCGACGCAGCATCACCGCGGCCCGAGCTTTTTCTTATTGCATACCCCACCGAGGCGAGCGGCATACATATGAGTGCCGGGATTCTTGTGTTTGTATGCGGTTCGCCTCGTGTAGGTGGTATGTGCAGTGCCGTACAACGGCGCTATGCTACCCAACCACCAGTTCGGCATTGAAGCGCGTAATACAATTGTTTTCAACCGTATCATCAACCGCGGCACTGCAGATCGTTCTAACAACGCGAGAAACATTGAGCCTCGGGACGCTTGGATTCTTTTCGAAACGTAACAATTTCTAATTTCGTAAATGATTCCGGAATTTTGTGTATAGTCATCAACTCAAAGGTTGCAACATTTTTTTTATAATTTTCGGAACACAGTCTGTTCACCTAGCGATTGGTTCCTATCAATGGATCTAACCAATTATGTTCAACTGTTTCACGAGTAAAACTGCATTCCAAAACCCATAAAAATAAAAAGTTTTGCAATCTTTTAGATGATGACTGTACAGGAGAATCCAAAGTCCCAACTGTATTGAACGTACGCATTTATCGTACATATACATAATGTAAGATTATCGGAGACTGATCGAATTCGAGAAAGGTTTTCAGGATGATGAGGATGGGACGCGTTAGCGGAAACTGCGCACCTCCTTCGTCCACGGACCCTTGACCAGCTCCGGGTTCACGACCTTCGCCCATCTCTGCTGGCACTGCACGTCGCTCCGATCTGGAAAGTGGCCGGCTATAATGTCCCATCGCAAACCAGTGCCCTGCTGTTCCGCGCTGCTTACTAGCTGTTTCAATAAAGCGTCCTGCAAAAAGGAAGAAGAGCGACGTGTGTAGGAAAGCGAAAATATTTCGTGCCACCTTGCGCCCGCGGCGCGTTTTATTCGCGCGCCTTAAATGCACGAAACGAGGAAGGACGGACGCATGGGAGATCGATCCGACCCTCCGTGAGGCTTTCCCACGTGAGGCCGCGTAAGTGCACCCTATGTTCTATGGGGCAACCGAGGCATCTGCCTTCCGACACGGCGGCGGTAACTCGCTGCAGAAAATACGAGGGGTGGACATTTTTTTCGGGGGGGATCCGCATGTTCATTGTTTTCCCCTCCCATCCTTCTGACCCTCAACTTGCTACATGGAAGCGATACGGTGTAACAATGTATATGCCTTGGCGTATAAAAACGTATAGCAAGAGTGAATATAAATTTAAAAGAGAATTTTCCAGATGGATAAAAAAAAAATAAGAACAAAAAATTTATTTTATTAAGATTGATTCAATAGGTATCAAATGTTGAAAGTTTTTCTCAATCGACTGATTTTCGATAGCCTGATACTCGATAAAGTGAAATAAAAAAATATTTATGATAAATAATATTTGGGATGTTAAATAGTTTGATTGCAGAATAATTGAACTGTCGAGAACTGTAAAAGATCCGGATTCAATTTCCCGTTCTTCCAACATATGAGAAATTTTATATGGAAAAATGTTATTTCACTGTATAGAACGAATCAAAAATCTCAAATATCGAATAAATAAGATCATAGTACTCTATCCTTTAGCGATACAGAAAAGCTATACTGGCTAATTAATACTAAATAAAAGAAGAGACACACATGTATAACGAACTTACTTCTTCTTTGGTCCATCGTCCTTTATTTATATGTTTTCCCTGCCCATAATTTGTGCCAGCACTAGGAATTTGATTTTGTGCTGAACTTTGTACTTGATTGGCCTGGCTGATTGGCGTTTTGTATTCATTATCGGAGTCCCCGCCGCTGCTAGAATCGTATCCAGATCGAGATCTGAAATAACAAGCAATAACACAGCCGTGAGATAACTCGTGTTGAATCACAAAGGCACAAAGGCACTTCATTAATAATTCTTTGAGTATATAGTGAGCTAAAAACTATTTCTAAATATCAACCGCAACTCTTCAAACATGACTGCTGGAAAATTTGTTTTCGTCGAATACAAAGAAGATAACAAATGCTTGACACACTTGCTAAATAATGCCGGTAAAAAGTAAAAAAAAAAGGGGAGGAAATTAGATTCCGTCAATGTAATTTCCTAAACGCTAATGATATGGTCCTGTAAAGAAAATGAGTGTCTTCCCCGCAACGTCATTTATAATCACCCGCCCGAATCAGAACTCTACGACACGATACAAAGGCCAAATACGGAAGCTTCAACGAACATGTATATCTTCTATCTATCCGGGAAGTAACGGCTGAGACGGGAAATCACGGATGGGTGAATATCCTTCCTGTCGCGTCTCGTCTTCCTCTTTTCTTCTTTTTTTTTGTCGCGCGACCTTTATCGTCGCCACCCTTTCCTAATTTCGCCACCATCACGACTCGGGAAGCAATTCTGACCGCGAAAACGCCGGTTTTTTTTTTGCGGTCACGAGCGACTTGATCTTCCCCCGCTTTGCGACTTCCTGTCACGTTTCGTACGTATACGCAGGTAATTGGAGCGCTTCCCTTATTAGGTTTTCGCATCCTTCGCATACTCCCCCAATCCTCGGTCAAAAGTTCATCCTTTGCGATAGGACGACGCAAGTTTTTAGTTAAAGACTAAAGGGACGCGCGTCAATCAATAATTTATTTAATTTTATAAAAAAACCATATTTTTTGGAATAGATATTTTTTCGTTGTTTTGCTCTTTTGAGCAAAAATCGAAGACTCTCTAGCATATCGATTCTCTTCTTCTAGCAAGCCAGAATTCGATCTCTCGATTACATCAACGATTATTAATTCTGAAAGTTTTTAATTTCTGCAGTGAATTTCTGAGATACGAAGTTTTCGCAGAGAAAATTTAGGTCCGCGCACTGCCCTGCCGAATAACAATGCATTCCGTGAACAGAAGGCAATATCGAATGCTTCTGAGTACACGCCGTGCAATCTGCTTCACCCTCGCTTTTTCCCCTTTCCCTCGCCCCTAAACAGCACAGCTGCATGCGACGCCGGGGAGAGTCCGGGGTGAGCGACTGAGGATATAGTTAGCTTATGCAACGATAGCAGCGGAGCACCCGCGGACGACGTATGCGTGTGCCGTAAACATATGTGTGCTGCAGATGGCCCCGGGTCCCTATCGTCGCTTCATACATGCCGGGGCGCCATCGATCGAGAGACGTCCTCGTCCCTAATGAATCTCTATCTCAATCAGAGCTACCATAAATATCACAGGGGAGAAGCATAATGTCGTATATTGACAAGAAAAAAATCGATGCTTGTTTAAAAGACAATTTTGCATAGGAAATAATTTTTTTTTATGTAGAATTAATACTTCGAGTGGAAAGGGTAATAAATAAATTTACTGCGTGCGGAATATAACGTGCGTGTGCGACTCCGACGCGATTCATTTCAACGTCGTGCGGTTGCCACGCATTGTAGACGATACGAAAGATGAAGTTACGTCATCGCCTAACGGCCTAACCATGGAATGCAAACAGGCTAAAACGACACCACCGTTTAATTACGCCCGAAGAAAGAACCTCTCTCATAGCGACGCGGTTGCCACGACAACAAACCTTATAGCCTCCGAATAATATTAGTTATATCGAACAATAAAAAAACCTCGTTTTATCGAGTATAACGCGTACATATCGAAAAGCCAGTCGTCATGCCAGTAGATTGACAAGAGCCGTAATATACGTAATGTACGAAACCGATGAATTGAGATGTTAATCACACGTCTCGAATATAATAATTAAGGTCGATTTTTTTATACGATAAATATAGCGCCATGCCTTGCAACTTGATTAATCTGCAGAAAATATCGTCTCTCCGCAGGTGTACATACGTTTACATCGATACTAAGTAACGTCTCGGGAATACTTGAGAGTTTATGTAAGGTGCATTATAAGAAGGTAAAAAAACAGGAGTGCCGCTGCAGCGAAGTATATCGCAATCAGTAATTTATGTCGAAATAATCATATTAAAGTTACAATTATTTTATTCGTGTATTTTCAAATTTAATATAAATTTTGCCCACCACTCACACTGCAGCCTTCCTCGTAGAGTAACAAAAATTAATTTTGCGGGACAAACATCAAATTAATTTAAATAAACAAAGATAGTTTCGACCCTTTAGCTTTAACTCTTCAAATAATTCGAGCGACGATTTTTTAAAAATAAAGGTGAAAAAGTGTCTGGAATATTTATACGCTCTCTTACGATATCCTCGACATAGAGAAGCTGTCATTAATTCACAGTTATTAATTCTTCTCTTTACGAGAGCAATGTCACGCCGGAGAGATATCAAATTAGCAAAAGAATTTTCGGCAGTTATGTAAAGATTCTCGTCTTTGCCGAACTTCCAACCGCCGCGCCTTCCTTGAATTTAAATCGTTTAGGCACGTGGCGTCTAAAAGGATTTCTGCCACATTCTTATTCACAGTTCGCGAAAACATGTCGGCTTAATAGCGGTTTCGATACAGTCAAATATTTTCTACCTGAAAGAGATACAGTGGACAAAAGAGAAATTCCCATCTAATCAGATCGACAAAAGAAGATGAAGGAATCAACGAAAAAATCTATACGTCTGCATACGCAAAATAAAATTTTATGTATAAACCTTAATTAAATAATATTAAATTTCTCTAAATGCAATAAAATAATAAATCTTTTAATAACTGACTTTTGCATTAGCCAAAATTCCATACTACGACGGGAAAAATAAAAATGTCTGCGACTCGAACATACAAGCTTTCATTACGCTTGTTCATTGCGATATCAAATGTTTAAAAATAACTATTACTCGGATGATGGAAGTAGTTAAAACAAAAATTCTCATAAAGGCTAGCTCCTATTAAATATTCCTGAAATGGAAAAAATTTGACATACACGATGATAAAGGGGATAAAATTTGCGTCCTTCAATTACTTCAGCAAATTGTAAAATAAAATATTCGGGTAGCTTTTACACGCGATGCGACAACAGAAGCAGGTGTCGTCGACAGCTGCTTTACTTGTCTAGGAAGATAAACGACCGTATCGCTTGTCACCGTGCAAAAATTTCTTTAACAGCTTTACAGTTCCAATATACATAAAATACATGTACATATACGTAACACGTGCATATCACGATGTACACAATAGGCTGTAAAAGTTGACCTTTGACGAAAGACAGATAATATACGGGCATAAATTCGTTATCGACTATTTTGTACGCATTCAATTTATCGAATTTACAGAAAAGCTGCTCATCGTTTATTCGTTCAATAATAATTTTTTCAGATGATACAATCCATATAATCAAACTTGTAGAGCCTTTCACGATTTTTCACATTTTCGCTTTCGCTATCGTGACCAAGATACGTTCGAGCAGGACTTCCCGGGGCAAATAGGTCTACGGGAAACGAATGTATATATGGGGCGCGGACGGGACGTCGCTAAATTTCAGAGACAATAAAACGATATCGCGGGACCGGACGATCTGACTTCTCGTGAGAACGGGAGAGAAAGCCCACGGGCCGTGCGTGCCGAGGTATGGACATCTGCCAAAGTCCCGAACTTTCCCCTCTTTTTTTTCCCTGCGCACTTCTTCCGTTCACGTTCAGCGCTCACGCGTTCATTTCGCCTTTACGACACACACCGGGCGCCCTTAGCGCGCTCCTCTTCCTTCCTTCCTTCCTTCCTTCCTCGCTTCCGCCTGTCGCGCGTCACGCAACAATAAGGTCATCGTGCAAGGCGTCCCTTTGAACGCGTATATGAAAAAGCCCGCCGGCGGAGATCGACGATTACACGACTCGGCAAAACAAACTCTTCGCGCTCGAAACTGTAACGACTAATTCTTGGACTAATTAACGCAAAGTTTATTTTCAAAGTTACCGTTAATTAATTCGACAGATTTAACAAGTTAATTCTTCGCATCAATTTCTCTTTCAGAGAAAACTCTGTAACATTGTATTAATAATTATTAATAGTTCGTTTCAGATAATCATCTCATACGAGAAAATCTCTAATTAAATTAAACAAATATATAATAATAATAAATATGTATAGCATGTATTAATTAATATTAAATTTTCTGATAGAAAATTCGGACATTTTCTTCGATTTCACTTTTGAGGATTTTACCATGCTCTTCTCCAAACCAGTCTCTTGAAAAGACGCTTTATCGCACGAAATATAACATGTCGACATTTATACGGCTTATCGGGCGAACTGTGCGGAACTCCGCGTGCCGTTACAATCCCCCGACGCCCGCAACAGGACGGGAGATTACTGGGTCAACGCAAATACAGATCTTGCCGCCGCCGCCGCCGCCTCCACCGCGTTGGTCGCGTGCGACGCCCGCAACACACAATTGATCCTTTCGTCAATTTTCTAGTGTCAGGGACCAGGTGTATGGATCCAGGGAGCATTCGTTCATGGCTGTGGCGTCAGCTGCTGCCCCGGTGAGTCCCACACCCTCTCGTCCCGGTCTCGTTTGCGATCGCCCAAGATACCGGCGCTTACGATGACGCGTGCTTTCCCCCCCGCGCCACGGCGTCATAGGACTCGCGTCCGATGACACGAGTTGTCACACGAACCGATCGCTCGAGGTAAACGCTTTTTGAAGAATTTGCGTCATTCACCGGACATTAAAAATCCTACACGAGTGAACGCGCTTGCGTTCTTCGCCGTCGATGTACAATACAATGTAGGCTATATTCGTTAATTAGCTAATGCAATGCATAACAATGTAAAATAAGGTCTTATCAAATAATGTTTATTATTGTATGTATATCGTTAGAAATTTAATTCAGGTATTTCCAAAGAATATATTGATACTTCTTAGAAGTATCAAAGTTATTTAAA